ATCTGCCTTCTAACTGACCATAAATACTTTTTGTATCTTAGTTTCCCTCCCACTTAATGCTTTTTTTTAAATTCAGAGCATATGCAAATCTCCATCTAAAGAATGAAATAAGGTTCGCAAAATAATCATGGTACCAAGAAAAAAGAGCTAGCACTTTCAAACCTGGCATCAGCTGAAACAGATATGGAACAGCATCCTGTTCATCTTTACTCACTCATATGAGAAACTGTATTAACATCAAGGGGACTAAGATATATACTGTCTCTTCTATTATTTCATGCTCAACTGTGTTCTTGCTGGTGGAATTCTAAAATATCCAGTGGTGTAACTACAGTTTTTTTATACTAAATTTATTAACAAATTTTGAAAATGGCACCTGTCGAAAAAATTCCTCCATCAGTGCCATTGTCCACCGGTAGTGTAGTTCCCAGGATTTTGCTGGATGGCTTATGTCTGCTGCATGAAGAATCAAAGACATGGCTTTGGCTTTGTCTATCCTGTCAAATCAAGGACATGCTCTGATTATCTCAGAACAAATGCAACTACTTAAAGACTTTTCTTGTTCATGTACTAATTTAAAAACTACTTTGTATTCATAGATAAAGAACATAATGGAAAATAACCTACCCCTCTGTCTGCTGCAGTGTGTGTCTCATTGTTTTAATTTGCTGGAAATGACCTGACATATCTGTAGATAGGACCATCTCAATGACCAGGCTACGCAGCTCCCTGAAAGCAATCAAAAGTAAAATGACTAATTACAATTTGTTTACTCTGTTTATGGAATATTTGCTTAAACTGTACTGTTAATTTATATCTTTCCACACAAAAATTAACTTTTTTAATGAAAAGATCACTTCAGGAAATTATTAACCACTGGAACGATGTATCCCTGAAGGGATTCTGAGGCAGCAGCATACTTCCACCCTGCAATTATTATTTCAGAGTCCTGCTGGTTTTTAATTCTTATTTTCTAGTGCAAAAATAAAATTAAGTGCAATTCTGGCACCTAGTATAACTCTTTTCCTTATTTCCTTCCAGTCATAAGATTACAGTAATCAGAAATAAAGGAGACCAATCAGGTCATTTGGTCCACTACAAGAAAAGGAAGATATAAGCTCTTAAATGAACAGACACAGCATAGTTAGAAGGCTGGGGAGTCATTTAGTAGGCTAAACAGTGTTAGAAATGTTATAAATTAAGACCATTTAAAAGCTTTATCTATCCTTTTCCTAGTCTTCAGGTTTGGCAATAACTGTACTGATGTCCAAATTGGTACAATCTTAATAATCCTTCAAGGGCCATTAAAATCGGCATGAATTGGAATAAATCTAAGTCTACAGTTTGTCTTTGTCATTTCTTTCAAAGGAGAAGGTTTGTATGTCAATGCTCTATTAAATAAATGTGGAGCTAGTAAAACCAAAACCATAAATGAAAGTACATTAGTTTCCATCACATATTAAAGTACACTAACCCCATCACTGTGTGGGAATCCATTGACAGTACACATAGTGTTTATATACTGCACAGTAACGTTGGGTGGCAGGAAGCATGCTGCGACACTATTGCACAGTAGTCATGAGCTACTGTGCAGTCAGCATCATGAAAAAGCCATTCCTTAGTGCAACTGCATCATACTTGTATAAACAAGTACTAAATGACTGTGTAGACATGGCCAATAAGTACTTAATTCTCAGCTAAAACTCAAAGACCTTGTCCACACAAGCATGGATGTTTGTTTTCCCAGGGACAACTAGCTGCAGGACACCTTGTGCCACTGCTAGTTGTCCCTGGGAAACGACTCTGGCACATACCCTCTGGCACATGACAGGTTACCCCAGATGGGGTAGGGAAGGCTGGGATCAGCACTGGCCTTGCCTGTGGTCCTGAGGGCCTCCTGGGGCTGCAGTTGTGGCGATCCTGCTGCTCAGAGCCTGGCCGGCAGCTGGAGTGTGGCTCTGACTGACCAGGCTCTGGTTTTGAGTGGTGCATGCTGCCCCTGCATGCGCTGCCACTCTGCTTGTTTTTGTGCGGGTTTTTTTTTACCTCTAGATATGCAGGGGTCACTCACCTCCCCCCTGCACTACTCCCTTGCAGCACAGAGAAGAGCTGAATGTGTGGTATGTGGCACCACAGACACACATACTGCAGGGCCACACTCGTCTGGATGCAACCAAACAGTTCAAAAAAAGGTGGATTTAAGTTTTATTAAACTTCCTGTCTTTTACTGAGATCTGTGCCCATACACCAAACTACAATGAAATGGGTATTATCATGGCATTCCAGAGGTGAATAGAAACTGGGTGAGATCCCAAGCTATTTCTAGACTTCAGAGCTCATTTAAACATTCTGGTCCAGTTTTTCAGTTCTCTTACTGTCATTGAAGTACATAGAAGTTTTACCAGAAAAGAGAGTGCAAGACTGGACCGCTCAGGCTATGCCTGTCTAAAATGTAGCTTTGAATGTTTAAAGAGTATGCATCACTGACATTAACAGACACTGTTCATGCGTAGCCTGGTTGCTGTCCTTACTGAGCAGTCCTTATTGTGTATATTTAAAATGAAGGTGTTTGGCCAAAGTTCCATATTTTTATATTTATGAAATACAGCCAAAGCATTAGCTGATCCTATGAACTCAGTAAACAAGGCAGTACAAACTATGTATTGCTAATGCTATGGCTGCTTGACTGAACATATTGCCTCATTTTCCCATGGGCTCTATGTATCCAGCTTCCTTATGTCTAAAATGTTTCTACGGCTGTTTGTTCTGACCTCTATTAGTAATATGTATCTGGGTAGATGATCCCTTTCCTTTCCCCCTGGGGTTCTAAACCTCATCATTTCCATTTACAATAAAAGACACCCACTGATGGCTCCAGACTGCCAGTCTTGACTTAATTAACTATCTGCTGCTCAATATTTCCACAAAACTTGGTTTGTTCATTACTTAGATGAAAATGCTTATTATTCCCTCTCACTAAGGTACTAAATCTTACTTTTCAAAATCAACATTAAACACCTTTAGGAACTGAGTATGAATCTTCAAGAGCAGATGGCCTAGCAGAATAGTGGTTTAACTTACTGACTCATTTATTGCTTGGACCACAATTGTAGTTAAATAAATGACTAATCCTGCATGAAAATCACAAAATGTATCAAAGAAAATGGCCAATTTAATGGCCCAGGCAGCTAATATCTAGTTTTTTTTTTTCTATTTAGAATTGGTTTTTCAAAAATGTGTATTCACTGGGGATACTGTATGACATCTATATTATGTTTTTATCACTCTTCCCCTTGCTCTCATCTTTAATAACATTGCTACTTTTCCCTTTAGCCACCAGGCCTGATTTTATTTTTTTTATTATTATTTTAAACTTTTGTACAGTGCCCATACACAGGGGGAGGGGAGTTACATCCCAAAGATGAGGTGTTGCGTACATGTCCTGGACTAGAACAGAAGTAGCTTTTATCTCATTTGGTGAGGGTATTTTAAATTTAAAATAATGATGATGATTCACATAAAATGTCAGTGCTCTATAGGATGATAGGATTGGTTCCTATCCTCTTTTATTGACCACATCAAGTCATTAATGGCAAGGTAATTTCATTGTAAATATCTTCCCATGAAGCATATAGAATACTCCTTCTATGTGCCACTCCTCCCATAGCACTTTCTCATTCAGGGAACAACAAAACTGTGCAAAGTGGAATCAAGTAGTAGAAAAACCTGGGACACAGAAAAATGTGGTTTCTTAAAATGTTCACAGTAACACGTTTTTCTATGTCACTACAGATTCCTATGAATGGATGTCATGCTGCCATTTTAATTGTCTATATGAAGATGATACTAAGTGCTGAAATGAACAAAAAAGAATTATTTTCTTGCATTTCAAATAATTTCTAAATCTTTGACACAATAGGAAACAAAAAATCAGTCACTCATGTAAAACATCTAAAATGGCTACTCTTTCTGTTTTTTATCACAACATACCCAGTTTTTCACATGAGCTCTTAAGAATTTCAAATAATTCTTCCAGGACATTTGAAACATCCTTTTATTCATTTCACTGACTGAACTTTGCATTCCCCCTTATGTATAAAAAGTTTTGTTAGGCAGTACAGTTTGTAGTGACAAGAATTGATTTCATGTTTACAAAGAAGTAGTGCTTAGTGTGATGAATGATGATTAGAATAAATAGAAGGGTGGAATGAGTGTAGATATTGTCAAAGCTGTAAAGTGTTCAGTGTTTCATTATAAACTCATTATTTATTTCTAGGGAAAAAAATCCACTCTGAGAAATATTTGCATTACTTATTTGCCACAAGATGGCAGTAATAATATCAGCATCCCCAGTTTTAAAAAATCATGCATTTTATCTTTTGTATAACTATTTTACAATAATAAAAATGCCTTTACAGAGCTATGTCCCTGGTTTTATTTCATTGTAAAATATGACCACATTATCAATGGAAAGATTCCCTTTGACTTTAGTAGGCATTGTATCAGGCCTTCATGGGGCATGAACAAGAATCTCTGCCACTCCTAAATTGGGTACATAAAGGATTAATTCATGGTACAGGGAAAAGGGAAAGTTTTTATGTAATATGAGAAGGATACAACATTCATCTGCCTTCTAACTGACCATAAATACTTTTTGTATCTTAGTTTCCCTCCCACTTAATGCTTTTTTTTAAATTCAGAGCATATGCAAATCTCCATCTAAAGAATGAAATAAGGTTCGCAAAATAATCATGGTACCAAGAAAAAAGAGCTAGCACTTTCAAACCTGGCATCAGCTGAAACAGATATGGAACAGCATCCTGTTCATCTTTACTCACTCATATGAGAAACTGTATTAACATCAAGGGGACTAAGATATATACTGTCTCTTCTATTATTTCATGCTCAACTGTGTTCTTGCTGGTGGAATTCTAAAATATCCAGTGGTGTAACTACAGTTTTTTTATACTAAATTTATTAACAAATTTTGAAAATGGCACCTGTCGAAAAAATTCCTCCATCAGTGCCATTGTCCACCGGTAGTGTAGTTCCCAGGATTTTGCTGGATGGCTTATGTCTGCTGCATGAAGAATCAAAGACATGGCTTTGGCTTTGTCTATCCTGTCAAATCAAGGACATGCTCTGATTATCTCAGAACAAATGCAACTACTTAAAGACTTTTCTTGTTCATGTACTAATTTAAAAACTACTTTGTATTCATAGATAAAGAACATAATGGAAAATAACCTACCCCTCTGTCTGCTGCAGTGTGTGTCTCATTGTTTTAATTTGCTGGAAATGACCTGACATATCTGTAGATAGGACCATCTCAATGACCAGGCTACGCAGCTCCCTGAAAGCAATCAAAAGTAAAATGACTAATTACAATTTGTTTACTCTGTTTATGGAATATTTGCTTAAACTGTACTGTTAATTTATATCTTTCCACACAAAAATTAACTTTTTTAATGAAAAGATCACTTCAGGAAATTATTAACCACTGGAACGATGTATCCCTGAAGGGATTCTGAGGCAGCAGCATACTTCCACCCTGCAATTATTATTTCAGAGTCCTGCTGGTTTTTAATTCTTATTTTCTAGTGCAAAAATAAAATTAAGTGCAATTCTGGCACCTAGTATAACTCTTTTCCTTATTTCCTTCCAGTCATAAGATTACAGTAATCAGAAATAAAGGAGACCAATCAGGTCATTTGGTCCACTACAAGAAAAGGAAGATATAAGCTCTTAAATGAACAGACACAGCATAGTTAGAAGGCTGGGGAGTCATTTAGTAGGCTAAACAGTGTTAGAAATGTTATAAATTAAGACCATTTAAAAGCTTTATCTATCCTTTTCCTAGTCTTCAGGTTTGGCAATAACTGTACTGATGTCCAAATTGGTACAATCTTAATAATCCTTCAAGGGCCATTAAAATCGGCATGAATTGGAATAAATCTAAGTCTACAGTTTGTCTTTGTCATTTCTTTCAAAGGAGAAGGTTTGTATGTCAATGCTCTATTAAATAAATGTGGAGCTAGTAAAACCAAAACCATAAATGAAAGTACATTAGTTTCCATCACATATTAAAGTACACTAACCCCATCACTGTGTGGGAATCCATTGACAGTACACATAGTGTTTATATGGGCTATTAATGTCAGAAAGATCTACACATTTGCATATGCAGATAGTACACACTAAACATGACGTGTCTTCATGCATACTCCTCTGATTTTAAGAATCTGTTCCTTGGTGTTCTGAGACTACTGCTAATCATTGCTAATGCAGCTGATGACTGGTTAGGAAATATTTCACTAGGAGCTCACTGTTGAAAAAGTGCATTGTAAACTGAATCAAGAACAAGTAAAATGTAAGTGTAAAAATGAACACAGGGAGTGCCGGTACAAACACTGTTAAAAGTTAGTGGGAAATGTTATGTATAGACTTTAAAATAACAAGTTTCACTTCTTTTCAGGGCTGTTGTGACAATTTATTGCAAAAGTTATCGAGACTGACTCTAAGGTCACTTTACAGCAACTTTAAACTGATGTAAGTTATGGACTTCAATAGATAAGTCCTGATCTACACTGAAGTAACTCAGTGGGAACTCAGGACTATCATTTTTATTCAAATAACAATGTGCGGCCATGGCAACATGTGGTTAGAAGAAGACTTACCTTGCATGACCTCATAAAAGGATACTAATTAACTTGCATCCCAACTGTTCCTCCTCCACAGTGCTTTGAAACTGTATCCTTGAAACCTAGGCAAGTCTGTTTTTGCAAGACAGATACTGCTTGGAAACTGAAGGTTTTGTATTAGCTGAATCTTTCTGTTTTTTAAATCTGAAACGCACCACTACTCTCACTTTCTACAGAAACTGTATTTAAACTTGGGTTTTAAGCTCACTTTTACTATAAAGAGTAATCAGAAATAAAGACCATGGCACTGCACACTATGCAGAGGCCAAATCTGCTTGCAACATGTTCAAACTCTCACAGAAGTCAACAAACTCAATTCTGATCCATGTCCCCTAAGTGTGTGTAAATCTGAAGTACTTCCACTGATTTCTTCACACCGTCCTAATTATTGCTGGTTGCTGAAATGGTGTATGAGAATGCTCCTGTTTCTTTGCTGGTGCCTGCCTGCCCAACTCCCAAATCAGAACTTGATCTGTTGGTTATG